TATCTCCACAGAATGTGGGTGTGTGGTCACTCTTAGCTTCATTCCTCCCCATAGACCTTACTGGCATGGGTGTCCCTACCAGGAGCTTGTGCTCCAGCCTGCATTGCCCTATGGTTCAGTAAAATTACTGGGCTCTCCCACCACGACCAGGTGGTGACCACGGGAGAGTTATTAATATTATTATTATTATTATTATTATTATTTCGAAATTTCAGTATTATTATTATTATTATCTACCTTTCTTGATTCTATATATAGATACATCTATTTAAAATTAAAGAAGTTTGATTTAACAACAAATCTATATGAATATAATCGAGACGGATTGATGACGATAGTAATAATAATAATAAGCACAAAGCCCAATCGGTTAGGAGTTGAAAGTTGAAATTTGGTACAGTTAGGGTACGTCATGAAAACGCACATTAATTAAGAAGAGAATTTTCGAAAATTTATTCCGGGGGCAGAGAGACAGGATTAAAGCTTCTATATACATTATGGAAACGAGCCTAAACGGTTAGGAGTTGGAAATTGAAATTTGGTACACAGTTAGAGAACGTTACGAGAAAACACACTAAGAAGGGATTTTTCGAAATTCCTCCCCACGGGGGAGAGGGACAGGATTAAGGCTTAACACTTCCATCAACAATGGAAGTTTTAAGTAACAATGAAAGTGTCAACAATGGAAGTGTTACGTAACAATGGAATTGTTAAGAGAAAGGGACATGCAAGACGCGGATGCAGATTTTTAGTTTTTGCGAGAAATTGAACATATTTTTAAACCTATCTAAAAATTTTCTAATCAGTCCTGAAACAGGGGGATCCAATTTTTGCATTCTGTAAAAACAGGTAAGGTTGACTATAACGTAATAACGTTAATCTTCCCTATCGTTACATTTGCCCAAGCAACGCCAGGCCTACCTGCTAGTTCTGTATATTTAAATTAATTCAAAATGGCTGCCTTTTATAAACACACTGAGAAAATACCAAACATAGCAAGCTGCTTGTCATTTGCATTGAGTGCAAAAGTACAATGTCAGCTATTGAATCAGAGTGACAAAAATGCTTGAAAAAACAATTTAGATTTTTACTATTGGTTTAATAATAAAAAATGTAATAAGTTTTGATAAATGTTTTTTATTTTCATGTATTTATGTACTAATATAATATGTAATCATACCTGAATATAATCATATGTATAATGACACATGCCTTTACCAAATAAATGAGTAAATCTTTATGAATTTTTACTTATATGGTCTATGGACCCAAAAATAAATGTCGGGGTGGAAAAACACCCCACTGCATTAATGCCGAAAAAAACTCAGTGCACTAACGCAGGGTTAATAAAAATGTAAAATGTTTTAAATTAAATTACTTTTTCAGATGAAATAGCGATTGACTGATGTGTGAAATAAAAAATTATTTCTGCTATATCTTCAAAAACATAATAGCACCAATAACGGTGCTGTTATATTTTTCATGACGATTTACTGAAATTTACCTCTTGTAGTAATTGTACGAAAAGTTAAACAAAGTGTACAAGTTTAACAAATATGTAAATAGTAAATTTTATTTTGTAAAATTGATTGGAGTAGATAGGAAAATGAAAAAAAATCCTATACACTTATAGTTGTGCTAAAAAATTAATAAAAGGAATTGATAAGTAAACTGTTATATAAATTTGTAATCGCAGGTTATCTTCTGCACACTTTCCAAGTATGTGCAAAAACTAAAAATCTGATTGTGAAGTTTTCAAACAACATGGCCTTAATATCGATACTTATTTTCTTCATATAAATATAAAATATTATTCATGTGACTTCGGAATTGGAAAAGAACTGCACACTGTACAGGGATGCTATATATTAGTAGTATATGTATGACAGCCTCTGGTATAATTTTGTAAACGTTTAACAGTTTATAACATTTATTCTAGAGTCTGTCATTACTTTGAGGGAAAGACGTTGAGCAGGGGCAAAAATACATTTACATGAATTCAGAAATAACCTTTTACAGTTTATTAATTTTAAATTATACAAAAACATAAGTGTATAAATGTATTAATTATATTAAAAAATAAAGATTATGTATCTGATTAATATTACAGTAAAGCATCGATTATCCGACCCCCGATTAACCGTCACGTCGGTTAACCGACCGTTCTAGTCGGCAAATTTCAAATGTTCGCTAGTGAGTGGCGCTGCAATATTTGGGTATGTCTTAGCTACTTTAATATTATTTTTGTTAAATTTTTGCTTTAGATGGCAATGAGTCATTGTTTACACAGCTGGGTGTCCTTGAGAACATCTGGACTCGGATTTCCCGGGACGTTCTCATGTACGCAACGGGAGGTCAAGGCTTTAAAGCAGGGTAAATTCGACCGACACTTAAATTTTTAAATATTTTTAAAAAATTAAAAATTTTATTGCGATTTCCGACCATTAATTAAAGAACTCGAGAACGATATGAATTGGGATATTATTTCAAAATATCAAAAATAATCCGAAAAATTTTTGTTTTAACTGGCAATACTGGCTCGACCATTGAAGTGAGGCCAGTATTTAAACGAGATTTAATTTTTTAATTATGAGTGGTTGTTTGTTTTGTGAGCAATAAAAAAATTTAAAAATAATTTTTAACGATACAATATCGACGATTATTATTTTTTAAAGAATTTGTTAGGCTTAACATCGATGAAAATTCAACGCGAAGTTGGTTAATAGCGATATACTAATATACTATACTAATAATGTATTTTTTTCATTATTTTCGGTTATCCGATTTTTCAGTAATCCGACCAATTTGAGTCCCCATTTGAGTCGAATAATCGATGCTCTACTGTATGTTGAAGTTATTTAGAAAAAGAGTTTAAAAAATTATAGCTTTTCACATATTTTAGTTAAAACATAAATAAGGGTAAAATGATAATTATTTCCTACAAATTTAGTAAATAATTGTTTCTAATTACCAATGACGCTACACAAATCAAGTTTATGCTTGAATTCTTCCATAAATTTTTCGGATTCTTTTTGATATTTTGAAATAATATCCCAATTCATATCGTTCTCGAGTTCTTTAATTAATGGTCGGAAATCGCAATAAAATTTTTAATTTTTTAAAAATATTTAAAAATTTAAGTGTCGGTCGAATTTACCCTGCTTTAAAGCCTTGACCTCCCGTTGCGTACATGAGAACGTCCCGAGAAATCCGAGTTCAGATGTTCTCAAGGACACCCAGCTGTGTAAAGAATGACTCATCAGTGTTATATTTCACAGAAAGGCTCAACAATGGAAAATAAAATTTGAAGCTTTTTCTTCAATATTAACGCATTTCTTTTGGTTTTTTTTCAGTTTTAAGTATTTTTTAATGTATTTTTTAAGCTTTATTACGTCATAATTAAAATGAAACGGTCGTTAAGGGGTTAATACTGGCAATGTCAGTGTTGTATAATGCTAAACTAAAATCGGATGACATGGAGTGGTTGGCTGCCGGTGTAGTCGGAATAGTTCGCTTGCAAACAAAGTTCGTGTCACACGTCGTGTTTGTCACAAAGTGAGATGAGCAGATGAATGATGTAAAAAGTTTGTACCTCATTGAAAAGTTTTACCTGCACTGTTAGTGTGCCAATGGGCCAATGGCATGAAGGTTGAGAAAAGCAAACCCTACTCGGGTGTAATATACAGTGTACCTAGTACCAATCTGCGTTATTTCCTTAGGTTCTGTTGTCCTATCCTAAAATCATCTAGTTATAGGGAAAAACAGAATGGTTTTACAAGGGAACCTTACGGTCTCGGAAATTCAGTTCGGGATGAGACTTTGCAAGTTAGTAGTATACCTCAAGGGTTTCCACCCAGAAGAATTGTAAAGCGCATTAGCCAGAAGTTTCCGAGGAAAAAGGCTTTAAATTTTTAAGCGAAGCTCATATACCGATGAATTTTACACTATAGCAGTACAGCGAAATGGCTGAGTCTGTAACGAACTCGCTTGCCACGCAGGCGATCTAAGTTCCATCCTACTTTCAGCTAAATTTTTTTTAATTCTAAAAATTGTAATAACTTTTAAATAAAGTTAATGATCTAAAAATATCATTAATTAAATCATAAATAACTGTCAACTTTCATACCTGGGAGCTCATTATTTCGTGAGTTTTCACAAGTCAGCAGCAAAAGTGACACTTTCACATAACTTTTCAACCAATCATCTTAAGTTAATTGGTTGAAAATAACAAGGAATTGAAAAATTCTTCAAATTTAAAAGAATATTTTTAACCTCTCCACAGCTTATAATATCTTAAAATTTGTAATAACTTTTTAATTACAATAGTAATTAAAGTTTTAATTTACCTCCGTTAGAAATGCATTTGAAACTATTCAACTTTTTTAAAATAAAATATTATATTTAATTCACATTTTATTAAAATATGAATTAAAGATAATATTTTATAATAACAATGGAATTTTTCAATTCCTTGTTATTTTCAATCTGTGAACTTAAGACAATAGGTCCAAAGTTATGGAAAAGTGTCACTTTTGCTGCTGACTTGTCAAAACTCACGGAATGATTAGCTCCCAGGTGTGAAAGTTGACAGTTATTTATGATTTAATTGATTTTATTTTTAAGTCATTATCTTTATTTAAAAGTTATTACAATTTTTAGAATTAAAAAAAAAAGTTAGCTGAAAGCAGGATCGCTTGCGTGGCAAGTGAGTTCGCTACAGACTCAGCCATTTCGCTGTATTGCTATAGCGTAAAATTGATCGGTATATGAGCTTCGTTTAAAACTTTAGAGCCTTTTTTCTCGGAATCTTCTGGCTAGTGCGCTTTACAATTCTTCTAGGTGGACACCCTTGAGATACACTACTAGCCTGCCAAGTCTCATTCCGAACTGAATTTCCGAGACCGTAAGGTCCCCTTGTTAGTATAAAATTTTTTCAGCAAAGCTTGTCATGCGATTAGTAATTGCAGCAGATCACAGGGCAGTTTTACCCTACATTTACCCTGAATATATGACCACCTAAACATTACCCTCAGACGTTAAAATTATTTAAGAGGGAGTAATTACCCAAGAAACGACACCATTGTTTCTCTTATTCATTTTCAACACGATTTCTTCCATAATACTTATCGGAAACCAACGTGAATTTTTTTATAATCGCAATGTATATTATTTTTTACAGTTAAAACTTATTTTCTGTTTACTGATATATTTGTATATCGAATAAACTTTGACAAAATTATAAAAAATAGCATAAAAGTTATGAAACGTGCAATAATCTACCTTTGATATGACCTACTTTACTTTTTTATGAAATTCTTAATATTAATTTTTTCTAGGAAGTGAAATAAATCAAGATAAATGCACTTCTTCAAGAATTGTAATTGGAATTTGGCTACTGATGACAACTGTACTTATATCAGCATACAGTGGTGTCCTCTTTTCCTACATGACTTATCCTGCTTATGAAAAAGTACCGACAACAATTGAAGAACTTTCAAATGCAGTCAAAAATCATGAATATTCTTGTGGGACTCTATCAATTTCGGCTATAAAGTCAATGATGATGGTAAAGTTCTGCAATATACTTTCACTTTTACATTTTGTATTTGCAAGTTTACATACGTTGATTTACATAAGTAAGTGAGATAATGTGGGTAACACAATAGGGTAGTTAAGATAATTCTATGAATATTAACATGTACAGTAGATTCCCCCTATAAAGCAGTAGATACGTTCTGCTTTATAAGAATTTCGCGTTGTAGGAATTCTTAAATACTTGGGCCAATCACAGCCCGACACGTGTGAAGTTTACGGACTACAGCTGATTGAAAGGTTTTCTTCCATAAAATTAATCGATTCTAGACTAATTCGACTCAATATTTCCAAAATACGTATAATTTTTTTGGGAATAATCCATGTAAACTATGCTATAAACAAAAAATTGTAGGATTACTTACTGAGTATGCACCGTTCGACGTCGCCATTGCTTAAGCTTGTTTCGTCGCGGAGCAGCGCACCAAACGGCGGCCGCGATTTCTGATAAGTTATTTTTCGCAGAAAAATTTGTTAAACTTTGGAGACATCATTAATAGAAATAATTTTTATGGCAGTTGAATAATAAATGTTTCTTTCACAAGAAATGTATAAAATTACAGTGCTGTATTAGACTTACGGTACCTACTACAGAACATACTGTACAGACGATAGTAAACTCAACTTATTTGCCTAATGTTACAGCTAATGAGAATCTTAGCGAGGTACAAGTTCAAAGTGGTGAGTCCGTACCCCAAGGTTCAAATTTATTTTGGGGTATACGTTCGTTCTTCTTGCTTCTCGCACTTCGACGTCCTCACAACAAGTGACCAAACCACAAAGTGTCTGACCCTGCGGTTCCTCTCGTACTGCGCAGGATACCTCTCGCAACGACTTCCGTTTTCGCGGTCAGGGGTCTCCTGCATTACGGCCATTTAGTCATAATCCTACGAACAATAGCTTCGCGCCACTGGCCATTCGACCAATCACATGTACAGTACAAAGCGTCTGTTACACCTAAACTCTCTGTAGCGTGGTGCTGGACGGCGGAAAGTATATATATAATTATAATAAAGTTAAAATAAATTAAGTTAATATTCTACAGACAATAGTAAACTCAACTTACCCATCTGAACTCACTGTAGCGTGTAAGTAGTCCTGCTGCTCATCTACTATTGGTTCAGATTCGACCAATCCTGTCGCGACACGAGTCGGCGATGACGTTATACCGCGTTTTTCGTGTCTCTTTTAGCGTCTCTATACGAATACTATCACAATTTTTTGTTGCGTTATAAGAATCCGCATAATAGGAATTCACGTTAAAGGGGGAGTCTACTGTACTGAAAACTTTTGTTTGAAGAAAAAATTAATATAAGCTAATAAAAAATGTCTATGATGTTTTTTTTTTTAATTTAGAATGCTCCCAAAGGTATGGTCAGCATTTTAGGTGATTACATAAGAAAGAATCCAGATAAGAGCTTTCCCACTATAAACGAAGGAATTGAATATACCCTACAATATAAACATGCACACATTTTACCCGAAGGTATTATAAATTTCTTACCGATCGGACAAAAAGGAGTATTAGTAATTTCAGAGGACTCGTTTTTAACGTATACAACAGTATTTCCTATGAAAAAACAATTTCAATTTGAAAAAACATTCAACAAAAGGTAAGTAGTTACATTTATATTATTAAAACTTTTAATTATTCAAATGTAATCTTTTTAAGTTTAATATTTCATTATTTATTTTATACACTGTAATTTTCCCATATATTATTACTTCATACACCGTTGTTTTTAGTATGTTAAAAATTGATGTTTTAATTATATTTATGCATTTCAAAGGTTTTCGAAATAGAGTTCATAAATTTACATTTTTCCCTACGGTTTCATTTCTTTTTCAAATAGTTCATTAATATCCACTAATATTATTTCATGCTTGCCAGAAGCAATGTGAATAAATTGAGAACATTTTATGAATTTCCAGAAAATCGTGACATTTTGTTCAGAGCAAAACAAAAACAATGTATTAATTTATGACAAAAATTTAAGAGAATTACTGTTTTGAAGACATCAGTTAGTATTGGTTAAAAATGAATTCTTCGTATACTTTTACATGACTCAATAACGCAAAGTACCGAAGGAATACATGTACCTGCAGTAGTTTTCAGTAAATCTGAAATTGACGTAACAGTAGACAAAATTATACACGAAACAATGATTTAAGTATTTCGTAAATAATTCAAGAAACTTGATGTCAAAAAAGAATAAAAAATGCTCACACAGATATCATTTGCATTGCCTCTGTTATCATATTTTATTAAAATATTTTTATACAGGGTGTATCAGAATAACTTTTTAAAAATTAGATTAATTGTAGAGGATGAAATTTTGAACGTTTTATATGAGGAACCTATAGCCGGAAATGTGATATAAAGTTTCTACAGCACTTTGCACGTTTTATGCGGTCGATATGCTACACTGGCATTCCCTCGAGCTTCACCATAACACAAATGCATATTAGCAAGTTCTCCAAACGTGGAGTTACCTTCCATGACGCCAGAACGTATCCACAGTACGTGAAGCACGACAAGCAGACAACTGTACATTGACTCACGTTGACTAGTTGTGTGTTTACAGCACAGCGCCAGTGGATGCAAGGGGTGACCTGAAGAACAATTAGCACTAAGTACACAAAATCCTGTATACAGGCTCAGTTAGACGGCTGTAGTTGTGTGTTTACAGCCTTCCATCCTTAGCAATAACATTACGTCAATGGATGGAAGAGTAGCTACCAAAGTGAAGTGCAATCAGCACTTCCTACCGCTGTAGACACTTAAGTTCACATTTCCAGCTATAGGTTCCTTATACCAAAACGTTCAAAATCACATTCTCTACAATTTCCTAAATTTTTAAGTCATCATTTTGATGCACCCTGTATATTTTTAAGTATTATAAAATAACAGAAAGATTAATTTCGAGAATACGAATGGGTTTTATATAACATTGTAACTGCTAATAAGAAGTAAAATCGTAATTAATTTTCACTCTACTAGAAATAAACACGACCTTCTTTATCTCTTTGTCTTATCGACCTTTCACTACCATATTTTAACATTATCAATTTTCCGAATAATCAAACCGTCCCATAGAATTTCGGAAAATTTCAACACAAAGTTATTATGTTTCAAAGTGGTGAAAAAAATCACTCCCACACAAACACAAACACACACACACACAAACAATGTTATATATTACAGCCGTGAAAGTAAACATTACCTTAAGTGCTATGACATCTACGGGAATATATTTTCTATATCTTAGGATGTTTAACAATTTAATTAAATTTACTCTTACTGATTTTGTGTAGATTTAAAAAAAAGCTATTCGCTTTGCTTCAGTAACACATCACAAAGGAATTTTTCTTGATATACGTTTTATTGGAAAAAATGAATTTAGAGTTTTAGTGACTCCTTTTCACTCCCTATATCTTACAAAACGAAGATAGATAAGAATTACATTATACATAATAATACATATAATATTTTAAAAATATTTTTATAATACAAGGTTGATTATTGGTTAGAAATTGATATTAATATCAAAAAGAGTATTGAGTAATTGACTGGCTAGAATCTGTTTAGAAGGGTTGCTGTATAATGTAAAATAAACGGGGATAGGTAAAATAGTTATAAAGGAAATAAAGTTTAAGACGGTTACGTTATAAAATGGTGTAGATTGTTAATTCCTGTAGATGGGTAAAGGATACAAAGTGGTAAATGTAAAAACTACCAAAAGAGTAAAACAAGTATTTAATGTTACATAAGGTAGAGGCGGGTAGAGTTCAGATTATTCTTAAGAGTAGTAAAAAAATAAAAGTCCTGCTCACTAAAAATAAACAAATTAAAAAAGAATAAAATTTAATAAAAATAACTAAAATTACTTATGTTAAAATAAAAAAACACACACATTTCAAACGCCCTAAAACGCCTTTTTCGTCTGTCTTCTATAAATGAGTTAAAGTAAAGTATTAAAAATCTCATATACTTCTGAACAAACTCAACGATATGTGCTTTATTTGGGTTTTCCCATTCTCTCATACTCCTATATATAAATCTTCAATCTTTTCGTTTCTTTAGTTCTTTAATATCCTCTTCAGTCAAATTTTCATTAAATCGTTCTGGCAGGAAAACTTGAAAATCATCTAACACTACTATTGTTTTATCACCGTAAGGAGTTGATATCGATTTGACTTTATAGACAGGATATTCATGATCAATTTCCAACTCGTTTAATTTGTTTTGTTTGAGTATTTTGAAGTTTACTAATATCATAACATATACTATCACTAATAACATTATTTTTTTCTATTTTATGTTCCAATTCTACATTAATATTTTTACTGCCTAATACTTTAGCTATTTTTAGCATCAAACCATAGTGTTTTATCAATATGTATTAAAAACAACTTTTTTATGTTTAATAAATTTTTATAAATATCCAAAACTTTTCTTTTATTTCCTGTGGACTCAGTATTAATATCAAGAACTAAATTTATTTTAAAATATTTTAAGTAAAATTTCATATAGATCATTCATTTACATAAAAACATAAATGTACATAAACTAAATACAGTAGAAATAGTATAACGAAAATTAATATCATTATATCAAAAGCATTGATATTTACACCTTCTATTTACATATTGTTTTTTGACAGTTTTGGCTTATAATTTTTCCTCACTTTAAAATATTTTTGAGAGTTTTTCGTTAAAAGTAAAAAAGGGTTGTCAAAAAATTTATAGTTAAGCCTGTATATATATTATTAATATGGGATGTCTTCAGGATAGTCTACAGAATTCTAAATCATGAAGAACAAGAGTTGATTAGAATTATATGCATTTAATTATGGAAATGTATAAAAATGTTAAACGATGTGTTAAGACAAGATAGATTTGAAGTGTGAGAATAAGTAGTTAGATTTAAAGTTGTTTTCGAATTCATCAAGGTTAAGCTCATATTTTTATTCATTTAGGTTAATTAATGATGTTGACAGTGAGAAAGGACCTATGATATATATTATTCATGATTTATACTGTGTTTATTAATGGGATATAGAGAAATTAAAGTTATAAACAGGTTAGAGAGGAGTGTTAAAAGTCAGTACTTTTAGTACTTGGATTTTGAATATGGGCTGTTAGAGAAAAAAGAGGAAATTTCAAGTATTTAGAAAATATACTCAACAAATTTACAGGCACTAATAACTTAGAGATGATAAGAAGAATACGAGATAGAGGGTGAGAAATAAAATAGGTAAATATAACATGGCAAGTGTTCAGTCAGTATTACTGAATATTCACAGTGATGGTGATTAGTGATGACATAACGTCTAAAAGAAGGACATGTTAAATTAATGATGTTTTAAATTTATATAAAAAAGGACAGGTGTAGTAGGTCTTCAATAAATCTCCATTTACATTCTACTTTTCATACCGCAGAATATTATATAAATTATCAAAATATATAAAGCCAAGTTAAGTGTCATAAAAAATATAATTTCACACGTCAAAAATACAACACTATTTCATTTTAAATACTATTTCTCACTATACTGAATCAAGTAAAATTGTATAGCACACTCTATGTAGTGTTACAGTTAATAAATTATTTAAACAATACTTTGTCTTTATCTGGATTAAATTTATATGGTTATTTAAATATATCATAGGATAAGCTATCGATTTCCTAATTATTCTGTCATACATATGAAGTAAAATAAAACAGTAAAATGCAAATTTACTTACTTATTTTACCAATGTATTGAACAGATCTGTTATACTCAGTACGTTAGATACAAAACTTCCATTTACAATATGTAGCAATATAAGAGTTTAACACAGACCACAGACCTCTATTTGATGTCTGGATAAATAAAATCAAAAATATAGTTATTTTCGATTTAGCCACATCCTCTTCGGTAATTTCAAATTATCATGTTCTTAATTTTTTTCACAATCCAAGTATACTTTTTTTTAGACAAGATATAAAATTTAAAAATGTAATTAAGAATAAGATCTTTTGCAGAACAGTAGAAATAATTTATAAAAATATTTAAAACGGTAAAACTTAAAAATTATTTATAAGAAAATATCTTAATGATTTTCTATACTCTTGCTTGATGTGCTGCTTATAAAAACTTTATTATAGGCAAAATGAATTTTTATATATTGTAGAAAGCAATGTATGTTAAAACGGTTATACAAATTATTATATTTACTCTACACTAACCAAACAGATAAACCAACTTCTAGCCGTAGAGCGACTCTAACGACAGCTATTGGCAACCTGACACATTAACTGTATTGTAGAGAAGTGGTATCCAAACTTTTTCGATCGCATACACATAAGATGAAAATAATTATAAGTTGTATCTCCAATAATATAATATAATATATTATATTGTATTATATTATAGGGGACACAACTTATATTTATTATTGTCTTAATATGATGTAATACATTATATTAGGAAAACTTGGCGTACTTTCAAGTATCTCTTTGCATACCACTTAGATACATGTACCCCAATTTGGATACCTCTGCTGTAGAGCATAGCACTAGAACCAATATATCTATCGATTCTGCTTAAAGTATTATCATAAATTATGAAGCAGTCATCTACGTATGTATTGTATTTTATTATGTCTGTGAGGTTTCTAATAATACGATCCGTTTTTATCATACACAATTCAACTAGTTTAGGGCCTATACATAAACCCGTCATGATACCGTCAGATTGTCTAACAAACTTTTTATTACTGCTAAAATAATTATTACTTAAAACAAATTGAACCTGTTGAATTACCGAATTATCACAGTTTAAGGTAGTTAATGCATCGATTATAGTTTTTATGTATAGATGAATACATATGTTAATAGCATTCTACTGTTAGAAATAATATTAAGTTTTTATCATTGAGTCATTTCCTCCAATATAATGTACATCAACAAGTGCTCCTTGTGTGATGTGTTACTGAGAAAAAAAGCCAACAGCTTTGGTATGAAAATGTTTATTAGGCAACAAATCATATCTTGTATGCATTTTTCATATAGTTTACTACTATAGAATAAAGTTTCACAAAATGTATGATTTACTTCATTTTTTTATTGTAAATTCTAATGAGCTAATGCGTGCATTTATAGATAAATCTAAAATCATGCTTTTTAGAGTTTTTCACTAGACGTTACCTGTAAAAAATTTGATAATACGAATGAAAGGTATATACGCAAAGTTGATTACATTGATGAATTAATAAAACGGAACATGAGCGATCTGACAAGAGGATAGTTCCGAGGAAACTTTCTATGAGTAAACTGTCTCTGTTTCTATGGGTGAACTTTTAAAGAATGTGTATGTTCTACAATAAAACGTTATAACTGCAGTTATTGCAACGTTTTATTGTAGAACATACACATTCTTTAAAAGTTGTACTTATATAAGATTTTACGAACAAATGTTAAAAGTTTTCTGTCTTAATGGTGAAAATGTATTTGAGGTGTTTTTAATGGCTGTATTTTAAAATCTTTCCAATGTTACCCGTTGTACACCGTGGTTTTAAAAGACAGACCATAGTATTGCACTGAAGAAGGACTTAACATTTATATAAGTCCGAAATGCATATGTGGAAACATTAAAAGAAGTGTCTAACCTGAAAGCTGTAATGATAGTCTAGTGAACTTAATGTCGGATTAAAGAGACAAGACATACTTGAATAATTATATTATTATGACAGACCTTTCATCTTTCCGAGATGGTTTTATATAAAACGAATGATTTCACCCTACTATATAGGCCATTTTCAGGTTTATCGAGCGAACTGGACACTCAACGTTCCATAAAAAAATACATAAATTTAAACTCGTAAAGTATACAACGGAAAAAAATAATAAAATAACATAAAAATAATACATATACTCGTATTAGTTTATAATTGCATGTTTCGTCAATTTACCTTCATAATGTATTTTAATAAAACATGTAATTATAAACTAAGGTATATATTAATTCATATTATTTTGTTATTTTTTCCGTTGTATACTTTATAACTTTGAATTTATGTATTTCTTCTTATAGAACATTGAAGTTCCAATTAGCTCGTTAACTCTGAGGATGGTCTTTAGAGTAAAAACGTTAAGGCTGTTATACACGGTAAGGAAATCCTTTGAGGATTAACCTGTGATTTTTTTCTATCTATCCATTTTTAAATAAAAATAATTCTTTATACGTTGGGAGATATTTTAATAAGTTTTGTAAATTACTATGTTCGATCCAGCCAGTTATATCAGAGTTTTTTTCGTCTGTTAAGCACATCCTTTGAGGATTTCCTTACCGTGTATACCAGCCTTAAGTTTTAAATAAAACGATCTCGGCAATATAATAGGTGTGATATGATAATTTAATTATTTGCTGAACACGTTCTGTTTAATATTAATAATTATTTTTGTAAAACTTTGTTTATCTATCTACAAATGAAATAAATAAGGTTCAATAAGTTAGAAAATCAGTTATTAAAAATATTTTTGAAAAATGATAAATAATATAGCATGTAATTAAATTAAATTTTAATTTTTTTTCCATGTAGAATTAGCAGATTAAGAGATAATGGTATATACCAAAAATTGAAGCAGAATGATATGCCTGCAGAAGGAAGTAGCAACAAAGAAACCTATTATTCACTTAGTATCGAAGACATTAGCAGCGCTTTGATATTATTGTTGTGTGGATATAGTATCTCTGTTATTATTCTACTTGTTGAAAAACTATTAAAAAGAAAATAATTTAGATTATTTCACAAAGAAATTAACAAAAAATACATCTGAAAATTAAACACACTATTTTCCCTTCAAAACTTTTACACACTAACTGAATACTGTAATCTTAGAAATTAGTGTATATTACAAAGCATGATATAAGACTGTTATATTTTCAAATAACTCTGTATGCTTAATTTCTATGTATGACACATTCACTTACATTAAATTTCATTAAATTGATAATTCCAGTTAAGTTATAAAATGGTTCTCTGTTGGGTAATTTTGGTGTAAAATTTTTTATCAGGCCTAACGATTTTGGGTCTGGTCGAACAAATATTTGACACGAAAAAGGCTTCAAATTGTGTACAAAAAGTGGAGAAAGTGAATAAAAAAATTTAAAACTTGTATTTTAGTGAATTTTGTAATTAATAATTTCTTCATAAACAACTTAATGTAATCAATACATGTTTATTTACAACTTTCTAAAATATATAATACTTAATCCAAATTGTATTTATTCTGTTCCATTGATTGATAATATAGTGAATAACTATTTTTTAAATTTTTTATTAGTTTCAGCTAGCGATTTGCAGAAGTTCTATGTAAAATTTAATTAACATACATGAAAGCTAATAAATAGGTAAAAGGGGAAAACTTGCTATTTTTCCTTAATTAATTACCTGGACATTCGACTGATTTAAATAGCGAACAACTCTGTGTCTATGAAGGACCTAAATGATGCATAGTTTTAAGTTTTATTTCAATGCAATCTAACATTGAATTAAAACGTAAGTGACATCTTTATATCTTCATTTTTAATTTAACATTACATAATAAATTCCTCTGATTACGTGGTTTTTTGTAATTTTACCGTCACACTTATCTAGCCGCGCTCTTAACTCAGATTTCTATAAATACATGTGAAAAAAATACATAAAATTGTGAATTTTTTACATTTTTTCTAATGCATGCTATTATTAATATAAAACGGTTACTAATTCAATTGCATATATTATAATTATTATCATATTATGAAACATTATAACATTTAATTCTTACAGTTGTTCATTATACTAAAATTATTTTCGATAGATTTTCAATGAAACATTTCTTTCACATCTACAGATTGTATAAACTTTTAACATAGTGAGATGATTCAGTCATTAAAAAATAGATTTAATATGATCATTTGTAATATTGTTAATTGTAGAGGTTCTATCACATGATTTATGTCTGCTCCTGACTCCAGTCACTTGAACAATTGAAGAGAAAATGGAGTACAATGCACTCACCATCTATGAATGGAAATAGTAATGTTATTGTATGAAATAAATACTTTTATTGTATAAACATAAATTTTTCATAAATTGGCATACCCGAATTAGAAAATTTTTACGAACGTAGAAGAATCCTGCTACTGAAACCCCCATATTTGGCTTAGCATACCTTTTCATAAAACAGGTGATCTTAAACCATTAAAAGAATAATTAGAGTATTGACAATTATAAATAAATAATTATATTTTACTATACATCACCTTAAACTTAAATTTAAATGTTAAGTTGCTTGAAGAAAATCTTTGTATGGAAACGAAGTTATCATAAATCTGAAAAATGTTTTGTAGGTTTTTCAATAGTTAGCAATAATTTTAATAAAATAATTTACAAAAAAACACATTTGAAAAAATCAAAGATACATGCATGTAGATAACTGAATTATTTTAAATGAAAAACTGAAGATTTTACAAATATATTCGAATTTCACACAGACTAATTCATCTAATAATTTTTCATGATAATTAATTCCATTGATGACATAAGACTTTGCAACACATTAGGTGAAACTGGTCACTATTTACTTCAAATCACTTGAAAAAACCAAATAAACGCAAATATTTATGAAGGTTATTCATGAAAATTTATACATGCACATGAAATACAGCACTACAGTAATTGTTTTATATAGATGTTCTTTTTTATCTTTTACATCTAAACTGTTTACTTTTGAAACAACACGTTCCAAAATAGCTTACTTATATACATTAAGGCGTTAAGGCTAACGTCCTAGACTAATGCTCTTTCTTGTAATACAACGTATAACATTATGTCATTATCTAAAAGGAGTTTTTGGACTATGAAACGGATCGCTATATTCGTCTAAATAACTAATTAAGCAAACTAACATTTCTAAGTTTACCAAAAGTATAACGTTGTAATTTTGTTCCAATTACCCGGACAACGAGAAACGTCAATGCTCATTCATTAAAACGTACTCTATTTAATTCTACGATAATTTAAAACTGTTTATAATATTGAATATGAAAAAAGTCCATTATATGAAATTATGAATTAAAACAGACATTTTCTATGAGTGTTTTCTCAGTTAGACTATATATGAATAGACAACAAAGCAAAATACTTCGACTCAGTGATTATGGCCCAGCACACAAAAAGCCTTTAAAAATATTCAGCATGTTATATAACTTAAATAACATTGTTGCTGTATATCATTGTTGCTCTATATCATTCAAGATAATAAAAATACACTATTGTGAATGACTATGACAATAAATACTGCATAACATATTTTAATTCTTTTCACCCTTTTGGCACTTAGAAGGTTTTTTAGCAAGCCCATTATGGGTCTGGTCAGGCCCACAATCGGGCGGCCGAGTAATGAGGTACAAAGCTCAACATATCCGGACAGACCACCCCACGACAAATTTCTGAGGATTTATCAACCCGTCTGGATTGCGAACCCAGAGTGGTAGGTTGCCATCTTGACCGCTCGGCCATCCATCCAATATTGCATAACTATGCAATATGTCATAACAGTAAACATGTAACATACAAAATAAGTATAATTACGAAAAATAGAAAATGTTACTTACCAGAGATGTAAAATAAGAAAGGCCCCAAGAAACTGACAGACATCCGATTAAAAACATCAGTGAAATTCCACCAAAAATTACTCGAATTACAGCGCTGATGTCAAAGAACACCGAAGCAAAACATAGAAAACATGTTTCGTATGTAAAGTGAGCGTATATCAAAGAAAAAAGATCACCCCATCGCGTGTTTAACATTTCAATAATATCCCAAATCTCCGTGTGCTTTTCGCAGATTTCTTGTAATTTTTTTTTCAGTGATGGTGAACATTTCTTTATTTTTTCTAATTCTTCGGATAACTTTATAAGTCTTTTAGCTACGACTAGTGCAGAAACAAAAAACGTGAGAAAAATTGAACATATTTGTGCTATGAATTGCAGAAACAGAAACGAAAAATAAATTGAACAGAAGGTCGCTTCGAAATCATTTCCATGGTATTTTTTGACTGCTGGAAACAGAGTCATCGCTACTGCATTCGAAATCATCAAAGCCAGAAAGAAAATACATGTAAAGATTATTAATAGAGGTAACTCGATTTGGTCTGACAATTCTTCTTCGCCCTCGTATCTGCTTTTCATGAAATGCCCAGAAATTTTAACCCTCTTTATAATTGTAAATTGAAGAGCTATGTAGACGTTTACAATTAGAATTACAACGTTCATTTCTCGCTGATATTTACCGTATATACGGCCAGCCAGATAGCAAAACGAATCTCTGTTGAAAAGCCTCGAAAATAAAAATAACGATGATAACCAAAAGAATAATTCAAGTAAAACCACGTAAAGGTTATAAAATGAGTTTGTTACATTTCTTTGTTTTTTGTTATTTTGTTGTTTCGTACAGATGCACTTTTCATACGGGTCTATCCCAAAGACTTTAGAAACAGAAAGAAGTGCACGAAAATTGTAAACTGGACAACGATTTTTCTGTGTGAAAATACAATTTTTGTTCTTTCCGTTACTGAAAATTTCTATTTTTTGTAAATTGCTAATGTTTTTGGAAATAATATTTCCCATTTTCTACGTTTTGCTTATTGAGATTTTGAAAACAAATTATTCAATTAAACAAACGAAATTAATAGCATTAATATAATTATTTCATACTTTCAATTTTACTTATTCCATTTGCAAATTCAATTTACCTAAAGAATTTCAAGTATAAAGCGTTATCAACATTGTACTGTGTTTTATTTAACTTTATGATAGTTAGTTTACTAGCGAATAAGGTGAAAGTAACCTGTAAAGGAAAATAATTTAATTTAAATTTTCTTCAATTAAACAAAATTTACAAGAGATAACATTCGTAAATAATGGAATTTGTATATTGATTTTGACATTACTCACAATATTACTTTATAAGTAATATTCTCAAATTTTTTACATGACAAAAATTTTAAGTAATTCAATCATTAACATTTTTAACTGATGGACTCTATTGATCATTTTCATTTCCCTCTTTTAAAACTGTTCAGTAAATAACAAAAGTGAAAACAAAAATTTCTAGGAAAACATTTATTTTTTGTCAATTTTCCTTTTATATGTTGACTTGAATAATGTAATCATCATATTTTTATATTAATTAATATAAAAATGTAACAATTACTTTTATTAAATTTAAAATTTGAGAAGAATATCGATTAGACTAAAATGATATCGATTGAATAAAAAAAATTATTCTAAAGATGATATCGATTAATCGCTTAAATTAGCGCGATTAATCGATATTATTTTTAATATAAATAAAAGGAATAAGTGGAAAACTGGTGCGTAAGATTAGATGTTTTTTCAACATGCAAAATATATATATATATATATTAATTTATATATAAAAATGATACCAAACAAAATAGAGGTCAAAATAAAAACACATGCTGTATTCACAATTAACATATCACGTAACAGATGGCACCATATGCAAGTTTTTTTTTTTAATTTATTTATTATGGTTCATAATATAAAAGTTATTTTTCGAATAAAATCTAATAACAGGCAGAAAAGTTAAGCAACTCGTAAGAATTTTTCTATTCGTTTGCTTCTAACATTAAACGAAATGAAAATTTTGAACTTTAGCAATATATATTTAAATAGTTTTTAACAAAAGTAATTTGTAAATAACGATTTCATGTTCTACAGCTTC